AGAAGTTCTAAAGCCATGCAGTAAGGTACACAATCTCCTTCATCCTTCTAAATTTGTTATGAGTCATAATTTCTTCAATAAAACTTTTGTGTCTTTGCCAAGGTCTTACAAAAAAAAAACAGTGTGCTCATTAATGGCTTAGTTAAATTCAACTAAATGGCCTACGTGATTGGACTGATGCATAATCTGTTGAGTCTCAGTYATCTATGTGATCAGAGTTTATATGTAAACTTTGGAGAAGGCCAATACACTATTTTTTTTCTTCTATAAAAAGGTACTATCCAATGTCCAAAAGGATATTGTCTATGTGATTGAAATTAAGTCATCGAACACTAATGTCCATATCTATTCGAACTCCACAGTAATATGAAGTTATTGAAAAGAGAAATTAGACACTATGTAAAACTGCATGTTCCATAGCCGAAAACAAATATCAGTTTTCTCCATGTGTTCGGATGTGCATGTTTTATTCTCAATGATCTTGATCTGTTGAGAATGTTCGATCCTATATCCGATGAAGACATCTTTGTCGGATACTCTCTCCTCTCAAAAGCCTTCCAGGTGAACAGTATGTACCGTCAGTGCATGGATGAATCTTTTAATATCAAGTYTGATGAATCAGATTAGTACCTATAACAATCATTTTTATGTGATGATATTGAGCTTAACAAGTGGTTGGAATCTCACTCCTTTGAAAACTCAACCCCAATTGGTGGATCTCCACATGTTCCACTTATTGACAATGGAGATATAATATACCAGCTGCCAATCCTGTACAAGAATCAGTCGATCTAGTGCCTCTATATTCTATGTATTATCCTCAATTGGAATTTATTTTCTTATTTCTTCTTATTGAGAAATCGATAACCCCACCTTAGTAGTAGTCTATTATAACCCTTAGACGAATACTRAAGGTGCCTTTACTTCTCTTTCTCTTCCTCCATCTTACAAGTAGACAAGAGATCACCCAATAAAGTAAATTATTGGTGATTTGCAACTAGATGTTCCAACCCATCTAGATGTTGTTCTTAATAGTTTGTATGTTATTTCTCTCTCTCTTTAAAGATGCACTTGATCATAAACAAATTCCTTGTGCATGGTTTGACTTTTTATATTCTTGTTTTGGACAATAGATTTATTAAAATTGACAACACCCTCTTTATTTGTAAATACAAAGGTSATGTCATTATTGTACAAATTCATATAGATGATAGTATTCTTAGTAAGACCATTTTTATTAAAAGGAGATTTTCAAAAATCATGGAAAATCCATCTGAGATAAGCATGATGAGTAAACTGACATTTTAWTTGGTTTACTAATAAAACAATCTAAWAATGAAAGTTTTATAAACTAAAATAATTATGTCAAAATTCCTATTAAAATATTTTTGATAAATTACTCATCATGAATACACCAATTTCACATCCTTTAAAATTACATACAGGCGTTGATGATGAGTTAGTAAATGTTACTAATTTTTGGGATGGATTGGTTCTCTTTTGTATTTATCTGCTAAGTCAGCCAAATATAACTTTTGTCACGTGTTTATGTACATGTTATCAAGCTAATCTAAAATAATMTTATTTGAAAGCTACTAAAAGAATTTTCAAGTATCTGAAAAGTTCCACCAACCCAAGTCWTTAGTATCCTAATGACTTAAGTTTTSATCTAATYAGATATTTAGATTTTAACTATACAGATTGTCAAATAGACTTGATTATTGCTTATAGTTGTTATGGATAAGTTATTTGAACGAAAAACCAGTAAGCTAATCATGAKCAGTTGTTTTCAGAAATTCTTACTTTTTTTTGACAATTCATGTGCAATAGTTATCACTAACAATCCAGTCTTTCACTCACATACCAAGCACATTAATATTTGTCATCACTTTTTCAAAGATCATATGATGAAAAGAGATGATGAACTTCACTTTACTCCTTCGGACTATCAACTYGCTAATTTATTTAYCAAGCTTCTTGTTGAAGTTAGGTTTGTCTTTTTGATTTACGAGTTGGGAATGTTAAATATTGACAATTAAAATTCTAAATTTACACTAGCTGATTTACCTTAGCTAAGTCATACTGATTAATCTTATATTGTTTATGGTTAACATTTTAATAAATAGTTTATGAAGAAATAATAGTTAGTCAACTTGTCATCATCAGTGCTTGTGCCAAGAAACAAAAATATGTGTTTTGTAAATATCAGGATACCAATGACAATGAATAAAACCTTGTGTAAAATTGCAAATAACACGTTACGATTATCCAATAACCATTGACAAAAATCATTTTGTTTTCATATATATATATATATATATATATA